TGATGCCACCCAACCATCTCATCCTCTGTCACCATCTTCTCTTCTTTCCAGACCAGGGATTGAACCTGTACCCCCTGCAGTGGAAGCACAGTCTTAACTCTTAGACCCCCAGGGAAGTCCAGATGAGCTCTACTTTTCATCACTAAACTACAGGAAGCAAAGGCCCTCTCACTCTGGGAAGTGCTTGCTACCCCTGAAGTGTGGTTCCTAAGAGCCTGGTGGTGGGAGAGAGTGAAGTTGAACCTAGAGCATTCTAGAAACTGCTTGGGTGGGATGGTGGGATTTCACCCCGTAATCTGATGATACTCAAGATTAACCATTCCTTTTCCATCACTAATCATCATATGAGATAATGGTATAGAGAAAAGAGAGCTCTCACTATGAAAAATGGCTTCACTGGCATCCTAGCCAAAGGTTATGCTGTATGTAGACAGGAATGTGGAGTCCATGTTTCTACCACACCAAGCATCAGGGGGTGCCAGGGGGCTCACTGTGTTCCTCAAACTCCTTATGCTGATGTCCTGACTCTCAGCACTTCAGCAGTTGTTGTTGAGTCACTAAGTCATGTCCGCCTCTTTGTGACCCCATGGACTGCAACATGCCAGGCTTCCCTGTCCTTCACTATTTTCTGGAGTTTGCTCAAACTCATGTCCATTGAGACAGTGATGCCATCCAACCATCTCATCCTCTGTCACCATCTTCTCTTCCTGCCTTCAATCTTTCCCAGCATCAAGGTCTTTTCCAATGAGTCAGTTCTTCGCATCAGGTGGCCAAAGTACTGGAGCTTCAGCTTCAGCATCAGTTCTTCCAATGAACATTCAGGATTGATTTCCTTTAGGATTGACTGGTTTGATCTCCTTGCAGTCCAAGGGACTCTCGAGAGTCTTCTCCAACACCACAGTTCAAAAGCATCAATTCTTTGGCACTCAGCCTTCTTTATGGTCTAAATTTCACATCTGCACGTGACTACTGGAAAAGCCATAGCTTTGACTATATGGACCTTTGTTGGCAAAGTGGTATCTCTGCTTTTGAATACACTGTCTAGGTTTCTCATAGCAACTTAGAAGGTGACCTTATTTGGAGAGAAAGTCTTTGCGGGAGTGACCAGTTGAAAGAGGTCACAGAGGGTGGAGTCTAACCCAGTATTACTCATATCTTTGTAAAAAGGGGAAGTGTCCTCAGAGAGACAGGTGCAGAGGGAAAATAACATGAGAAGACACAGGGAGAAGATGCCCACCCACAAGCCAAAGAGAGAGGCCTGGGACAGATCCTCCCCTCGCAGCCCTCAGAAGGAACCGACCCTACCAATGACACCTTGGTTTTGGACTTCTGAGCTGTGAGACAATACACCTCTGTTGTCCGCAGTCTGTGGTACTTTGTTATAGCAGCCCTAGTCACATAGAACAGGTAACTCAAAGGGAAGGTGTTATCAAAGGGATCAATTAAGATGTGAAAACAAGAACTTTGCTGGTGGTCCAGTGGTTAAGACTCCATGTTCCCAATGCAGGAGGCGCAGGTATGATCCCTGGTCAGGGAACTAAGATCCCAGTGGCCGAGATGTGGCCAAAAAAAAAAAGATGTAGAAAAAACATTCATTGGTCAAGTTATATCCATGCTGTTTGCTTTAATAGATCTGAAAGTTATTTAGTTCTCAAGTCTGGCTGAAAATATATAGTAGTTATAGCAACTAACATTTATTGGCCCCTCATTATGAGCCATGCTGATCTACATGGTTTCAAACAACAAGTAAGGGATGTACTTTTAGCTGGCCCCTTTCCATAGATGAGGACACAGACTTGCAAGTTACTTGTGTCATGGTCATAGCAGTCCTATCAGTTTCCTTCTTGCACAGGTTCCCACATTCTCTGTGAAAGCGGGATGGAGACTTAGCATGTTCTAGAATCACACACCACAGCAGCAACTGAATATTGCTTTTGACATGCGGATCCTGCTGCATGTTAGGATGGCAAGAACAGTTATCAAAAGCAATAATTTATTCATTATCCTCTGCCAAAGGAGGAGGGGTCCAGAAAAAGGATAAGTAGAAACATTAATCCTACACCACAAGTTAAGAAGGACCTTGTTTTTCCTTGACCTAATTAGCTCATTAATAAGAAGCAGGATGGGGCTTCCCCAGTGGCTCAGTGGTCTGCCAATGCAGGAGATGAGGGTTCAATCCCTCATCATCATTGACCCAGGTTCAATCCCTGGGTCAGGAAGATTCCCTGGAGGAGGAAATGGCAACCCACTCCAGTATTCTTACTCGGGAAATCCCACGGACAGAGGAGCCTGGCAGGCTACAATCCATGCAATTGCACTGAGTCGGGCACAACTTAGCAACTAAACACCAACAAAACAGGAAAAAATAACAGAATACACAGAGGGAAGAGCAAGTTTTGCCAGTGTGTTTCTCAACACTAATGCTTTTATTAAAAATGAAAAAGAAGAGCCCACTCTTCATGTCTATACCTTTTAAAGTTAGAATGCTCTCTCTCCTGCCTCTTGCAAGCAAAAAACTAAATTTAAGAAAGCACACACCCACAGCCTGCTTTTCCTCTGTCTGTATTTCACTGCTGCTGCTGCTAAGTCGCTTCAGTCGTGTCCGACTCTGTGCGACCCCATAGATGGCAGCCCAACAGGCTCCCGCGTCCCTGGGATTCTCCAGGCAAGAACACTGGGGTGGGTTGCCATTTCCTTCTCCAATGCATGAAAGTGAAAAACAAAAGTGAAGTCGCTCAGTCGTGTCCGACTCCTAGTAACCCCATGGACCGCAGCCCACCAGGTTCCTCCGTCCATGGGGTTTTCCAGGCAAGAGTACTGGAGTGGGTGCCATTGCCTTCTCCCCTGTATTTCACTAAGAAGAATGTAACACTAGTTACTCTCGCTGAGTTCCAGCTGAATCGGACATACCCTTCTATCTAGTTGGCCACTACTCCTGTTCTCCTCTGTCTTAATTCCACAGCTTCCATTCCTCATTTTCCTTCCCCCAAATCCAGATCTGCCCCGTCTAACCTGTCTTCCCCAAACATCTCTGATGACTTCTCACTGACATCTTTGATCTGCATGGAAGGACCCTCACATCTGAGCACCAACCTGCCTTTTCAGATCCTCAGCTCCCATGGACCTTACTGCACCCAGACACAAACCCCTCCACTGTCCCTGATTCCCTATGAACATGCTATTTACTCTGCTCATCTCCTGACTGTCTCCTGTGAGTGTCTAACCTAGAGGACCCTTGCCTCTCTTGCTCACCTTGGGAACTACCACTTCTCGAGGCTCACCTTGGGGTTACCCTGCCAAGTCCCTTTTAGTATTATTCCTTCTCTCCTTCCCTCCCACACCTGCCAGCCCCACTCATCGCAAAATTAACCATTCCCTTCCCTAGAGTCTCCTTACACTTTGGACATCCTCTTCAAGGAGATTCAAATACTCTGCAACTTTCTTTTCATATGTTTTCCCTCCCAATGGATAGATGAGACAGGGACATTTTCCTAATTTTTTTTCCAGCCCTAATATACCCAATACCTAGCACACTCTAGGGTGGGAAATGGTTAAACATCCCACTCCCATTCAGTAAACAGAACTGAGCTGGGCCAGTCACTTAAGTTTGGGATCTGTTTCTTCATTTGCAACAGGATGGGATTCTGTCTACTCTGGCTATCTTACAGAGTTGCTCCAGAAACCACACGGGATAAACATGTTGGGAGTACACTGAAAACTAAAAAGAACTTAATGGGTACAGAGTTGTACTACTGTTCTTTGAGCAGAGAAGCCATGTTTATTGTCTTTTGTAGCACACAGAAGGAAGGACCACATGCTATCAAAGAAGTCAGAGGACTGGGAAGGACCCTTGCATCATGAGCTGAGGCTTTCGAAGAGGGCATGAAGCAGAACACACAGGCATATTGTCTACACCCAGCCAAGACAGTGTCATTTCCTCCATACTACACCTCATCAACCTCCAGATTCCAGGTGGATTCCCTAGGGGTTATTCCTTCATGTCTGTGCCATTATCCATAGACCCGAACATCACAGCAAATGCTATGATTAGAAGGACCTAGTCAATATTAATCAGAATTCCTCCTTGGCACAAATATTGCAACTAGATTCCCTACACAATTTCATACGAAATTCAACTCAGAAAAGAGAGTGTGCCATGCCTTCCTAATTCCAAAATATTCATAAACCCAACTCCAGGAAACTGTTACTGTCTTAATAAAGGTCTTTTGCAATAACACTGAAATCTCAGTTATTCAGTGCACTTCCTTTTTTTTGTTATCAGCTGCAGAAACCAAACAGATGAATCAAACTTCATGGTGGCATGAAGCAGAACACACAGGCATATTGTCTACACCCAGCCAAGACAGTGTCATTTCCTCCATACTACACCTCACCAACCTCCAGATTCCAGGTGGACTCCCTAGGGGTTATTCCTTCATGTCTGTGCCATTATCCATAGACCCGAACATCACATCAAATGCTATGATTAGAAGGACCTACTCAATATTAATCAGAATTCCTCCTTGGCACATATATTGCAACTAGATTCCCTACACAATTTCATACGAAATTCAACTCAGGAAAGGGAGTGGGCCATGCCTTCCTAATTCCAAAATATTCATAAACCCAACTCCAGGAAACTGTTACTGTCTTAATAAAGATCTTTTGCAATAACACTGAAATCTCAGTTATTCAGTGCACTTCCTTTTTTTTGTTATCAGCTGCAGAAACCAAACAGATGAATCAAACTTCATGGTAAGCAAAGCAATCTTCAGAAGGTCAATTATATTTAGGTGAATTACTTCTCAAGATGATGTTATTATGATTGATTTTTTTTTCCTTCTGGGATCAAATATTCTATAAGAATTCTTCTGTTTGCTTAAGTTCTATACATCATCTTTGCTATATGCAGGTTTTTACATTCTCCATACTGTCAAGTGAAGTTTGTCAAAGGCTTTTTAAAAACATTAAGAGTTCATATGAATATCAAAATGTCCTACCTCCTTGGGGAAAAAGGGTCCAAGGATAGAATAGCACATCATGGAACCTAAGTTAATGGAAGCTGTTGATATCAGTACAAAAATCTGTTCTCTTGAAAGCCGCCTGGATGTCTCCATTGCAACTCCTGGAGGGCCATCACCTTGAAAGCAAATAGGCTGCAATTAAAGAAATGTAATTGGGGCTACTGATCAAAGTACAGAAATGTCATTTCTGTGTACAGACAATGCACTCTGAAGGTAATATCTGCTGAGCTAAAGGCTATTTTGAATATAGTATATTTGGTCCAATGTAACACAATCCTTGTATATCACTGCAATTTTCAAAGCATATCACTTTCACTCACATTACTGTTCCCTATCAGAATTTCAGTGCAGAATTTATCAAACCATCCTTTGTTTTGCCTTCACCTTAAGGTTTATTTGTTTCACCTTAATAGATTCTTTCAAGAATGATGAGGCCACAGGGGGCTCTCCAAATGCTACTGTCCTCTGAAGTAATGTACTTTCTCAGGTTGAAAAGTGAAAGTGTTACTCACTCAGCTGTGTCCAATTCTTTGGGACCCCTTGGATTGTAGCCCGCCAGGCTCCTCTGTCCACAGAATTCTCCAGGCAAGAATACTGGAGTGGATAGCCATTGTCTTCTCCAAGGGGACCTTCCCGACCCACGGATCAAGCCTGGGCCTACTTCACTGCAGGTGATCCTTTACTGTCAGAGCTGCCGGGGACCCCACTTTCTCAGGTTACTAGCTTCATGTGCTACATGGACTCAGTCATGTTTTAGCCACTTCATGTTAGTGGTTTATTAAGGTGGCTCAGTGGCAAAGAAGCTGCCTGCCAAGCAGGAGATGTGGCTTGATCCCTGGCTCAGGACGATCACCTGGAGAAGGAAATGGCAGCCACTCCAGTATTCCTGCCTGGAGGATCCCATGGACAGAGGAGCCTGTCCGGCTATAGTCCATGGAATCTGAAACAGTCAGACATGACTTATTGACTAAACAGCAGAAAAACTACTGAAGTCAAGTGAAGTGTAAGTAGGAAAAAACAAACTAAATCATTCAACTGGAGAAGTAATACTTACAATGGCAGCTCCTGGAAAAACAAGTGTCATAAATCTATAAATCAGTAGTGTTTTACAGTAATTATTGGTCTTCTGCATCAATTAATTTAATATTTATTCTCAGGGCTAAATTACCATTTAATTTAAAGATATCAGGTCACTTACTCAGTTCCAAACACCCAGTAAATCTATTTGCAATTTTTAAATTATAAATGGTTTTGAGAGAAAAGAAATTTAAGAAAATATATTTGAATGGCTCTGTATTTTCAGAGGTTGCCATTGCCGTCTAGAAAAAGAAATCTGTGAAACAGAAGGAAGTCTTAAGAAGTTTTAAAAATTTTGGTAGAGGACGAGGAAGGGAACTGAAAGAGTTAAAGGGGTTGGGGGGATAACAAGCTGGAAATGTCACCATTTGCGTTTTCCTAAAGGGCAACTTATTTGAATGCATTCTTAAACACACACTACTTAAAAGTAGAACCGCGGAAGTCATCGGAGACCACATCCTGTCAGGCCAGTGTTCACACTTTAACCCTTTCCAGGGAGAAAAAAACCCACTGCCAGGACCCTGCCTTCTCCAACCTCTCTAAAACAAACCAAGCTAAAGGCAATTCAATCGCGGTTAAAGACACAGAAGCCAAGCCACAGAGGTGCAGCTGGCCTCCGGCTCTCCGTCACCTCCTGGGGGGCGTGGGCCTTCGGGGTCTCCCGGTGAGTCCATATGCGGTGCGCGGTCTCGCCTGGGCTCCCGGGTCCAAGCCCCTGGGACTCGACCTCGAAGGAGCAGAAGCGCAGACGGCCACCGCTCAGGGCGGCCTAGACATCCCGGACTGCCTACGGACAGCGCGGCTCGGAATTCCACGCAGACCTGGACGGGAGGGAAGAGCTCCCGGAGGCGGGGCGGGGCNACATTAGTAACCTGGAAATGAGCTAACTGATGTGCAGTACTCTGAGTTAAAAAAAAATTGCAAGAATTATAATGAATGTTGAATACACATGGTGGAGTGGCTGGGAGAACCACTTCTGGAAGGAGAGGCTTGAGGCACTGGTCCTCAGGCACAAGTTCAGGCACTTGTCCTCAGCAGGACATACTCTCCTTCTGCATTCCTGGAATTCAAATAAGGAGGAAGGAAATTGAAAATATTTTTAAATTTTTTTCTAGAAATTTCCAAAAATTGAAACTTGAATTTGCCAAGCAGGAACAACTATTTGTAAATTATTTAAATTTCATTTATAACATTTACATTGCATTGGGTATTATGAATCATCTAGAAATGATTTAAAGCACATAGAAGGATGTGCTGTAGGTTATATGCAAAGGCTATATCATTATATATAGGGGACTTAAGCATCTGTGTTGGGGTGTTGGGGATCCTGGAACTGATACCCTTGGATATCCAGGGATGACTGTACTAGCTGTGACCCTGCATCACAGGTCAGTTTCTCTATCTGTGTGACTAGGATTATAATGCCTGTCATGGAGAGTGGCTGTGAGCAGTGGTGATAAAGTATGTGAAGGGCTTGGCTTTGGAAAGTGAAGGCTGCTATGTTATTCTCACCCTCACAAATTTTCTGGCACAAAAAAATAGAGGCTTCACTTATCTTCAACTGATTTACTGTTTGGGAAAGGTGAAAGTTTAAGGGCTGGAAAATTCTTAATTTGGGGCCAAGGTAAAGTACAATAACTTAGGACTATTGAGTTACTATCCTGTGCCAAGCATTGTGAATTCAAAAATAAGTGAGCCCCATCCAGTCTCTGCCCTTAGATAACATACATACTCCCTTCTAGCAGATAAAATAGACACTGATGAACAATTTATTACAATGCAATGAAGTCTGTAAGAGAAACACATTGGAAGAACTGTTTACTTATATTACAGTGTGTCTTGAAGATTATGAAAATACTTCTAGGAAATCAAGTAGGTAAGGAGAGCCTGTAGAGACATTCTAAACAGGATTAGCTCTAGCAAAGTTTTCTTAAAATGGACTCCAGAATCTTTCTGATCTAACCCCTGCCAGTTTCTCCAGTCTTATTTCACTCTACATTCTCGCTCCCAGCTAACGTCAAACCACAGAAGAGAATTTTCTTGAATTACTTCTTTGATGACTGCATTCTCTTTTTTGTTGTTGTTCTTTCTTTCCAGACTGTTCTTTATGTAGCTATTGGGTTGCTAGACTGGTCCTCTTACTTATTACTCTACTTTTCATCTCTTTCTCTTTTTGCTCCATCTTATAAGAAGTTTCCTTAATTTCATCTTCCAAACCTTCAACTGAATTTTTCATTTGCTGTCATCTCTTTCTCTGTATCCCTCTATTCCCATTCTCTCCCCATCAATAATCATTCTTGCATGTTTAATACAAAATTTGTATATATTTTATATTCTTGTTTTGCAACTAGCTATTTTTAATTTACATGAAGATTTTGTGGTTCATATATTCATACTCTTATCTTCCTCTCATATCTAACCTCTCCCTCCAATCCTCTTTCCAGATCCTTAGTGTTATCATGGAAAATATTACCATGTTATTAGTTTTCTGCATCTACTGTAACAAATAACCATGAATTTGGCAGCTTAAAATAACACAACCCTGTATGCCAGTAGTTCAAGATCAATTTCACTGAGACAAAATCCAAAATAATCTCATAATCTCAAGATCTTTAACTTAATCACATCTGGACCTTTTTTGTCAAAAGGTAATGTTTATAACTTGCAGGGATTTAGAATGTGTATGTATCTTTGGAATTCATTATCAGCCTGCCACAACTATCTATTCATATTTTTATATGTTCATCTAGACATACATACACATATGAAACATTTTTTTTTCTTTACAAACTAAAATGGAATACTAATATGGTCTCTGTTTAAATGTCACCTCCTCTGAGTTCAGTCTTATCTCTCTATCCAAAATACAGCCCCATAACCCTTTGTTCCTTCATCCTTCTTTATTTTTCTTCCTGGTATCTGTATCAATCAGGGTTCCCTGTTTCTATTAAAATAACTGACTTTTGTTCATTTGAGCAGACAATGAATTTATCATAAGTTATTTGGTAACACATCAGGAGGGCTGTACACACCACCCAGGGACTACGTGCCTAAAATCACATCCCGTGTTTATTGGTTGCATGGTATATATCTTTTTCCAGCCTCTTACTCTTAACCTATTCATGTCTTGGATATTAAAAATGTATCTCTACTAGAATATAGTTGATTTTTAAAAAAATCCGTTCTAATGGTCTCTATTTTTTAATATGAGCAAATAGTTTATTTACATTTAAGATGAGTATTGACATGGTTGGATTTAAGTACTATTTTTTAAAATTTTATTTACTTTATTTTTGGCTGTGCTAGGTCTTCACTGCTGCTTCTGCTGTCCTCCACTTGTGGCAAGTGGGACTACTCTTCGTTACAGAGCACAGGCTCTAGGCGTGGGGGCTTTAGTGGTTGTGATGCGTGGGTTCAGTAGTTGCGGCTTGAGTACAGGCTCAATAGTTGTGGCACGTAGGTTTAGCTGCTCTGTGGCATGTGGGATCCTCCTGCACCAGGGATCAAACCCATATCTCTCCTGCACTGGCAGGCGAATTCTTTACCACTGAGCCACCAGGGAAGTCCCCTAAGTCTACTGTTTTATTATTTGTTTTATATCTTCCCATCTGTTTTTTTTTTTTAAATTAGTCTCTTCTTTCTTATGGTCTTTTTGTTTTATTGAAAACAAATTTTGGAATTACATTGGAATTTATCTATTGTGTTTTTAGCTACGTTATTTGGTATTACTTTTTAGTGGTTGCTTCGTATTTTCAAAACACATTCCTAACATTTCTGGTCTATTTTGAGTTAATATTGCAGCACTTCATGCAAAGCATGAGAACCTTACCACCACATAGGTCCAGTTATCCAGTGTCAACTGCCAATTATTTATGTTCTAGTCTTCATTAAGCATTTTTTGCTTTAAATAGTTGTATTTTTAATTAATAAGAGAAAAATAATGTATCATGAATAATACATTGTGGAAACTCTGGATTCTCTTGTGTTCTTTCAAAGAATATTGATTGGTTTTTCTTTTCTAATTTCTGCAGAGTTAAGCTAGCTTGACTCAAACTTTATGATTAGATAGCATCACCGACTCAATGGACATGAGTCTGAGCAAATTCCGGGAGACAGTGAAGGACAGGGGAGCTTGTGTGCTGCAGGCCAGGCGTCACAGAGAGCTCGACAGGACGTCGTGACTGAACAACAGCAACGACGAACAATACACAGGTGTGCAGGGGCCGATCAGAGATTTAGCTGAGTATTTAAAGGTGCGTCTGGTCAAGGCTATGGTTTTTCCAGTGGTCATGTATGGATGTGAGAGTTGGACTATAAAGAAAGCTGAGCACTGAAGAATTGATGCTTTTGAACTGTGGTGTTGGAGAAGACTCTTGAGAGTCCCTTGGACTGCAAGGAGATCCAATCAGTCCATCCTAAAGGAGATCAGTCTTAGGTATTCATTGGAAGGACTGATGTTGAAGCTGAAACTCCAATACTTTGGCCACCTGATGTGAAGAGCTGACTCATTTGAAAAGACCCTGATGCTGGGAAAGATTGAAGGCAGGAGGAGAAAGGGATGACAGAGGATGAGATAGCTGGATGGCATCATCGACTCGATGGACATGAGTTTGAGTAAACTCCAGGAGTTTGTGAAAGACAGGGAGGCCTGGTGTGCTGCAATTCATGGGGTCGGAAAGAGTCGGACATGACTGAGCGACTGAACTGACTACACAGAATCCTACACAGAATCCTGGCTCTCTCCTTTCTGGAACTACCCCTCCCCTCCATTTTCGGCAGCTGTGTCTGCTCTAAACTCTGTCCTCTGCTTTTCAAGGCAGTCAGATCGAGGACCTCTGACTGTGAGCTGTGACCGGGGCCCCCTCACACTAAAACCATAAACACGGGAATGCAGCCCGGGCCATGCCGTCTCCCAGTGTCAGTCTCCAGCCCCACTCTCCACTCTAGTCTGCGTTCGGCCATCCTCCAGTATCTTCAGGTAGTTGTTTCTAAAATTTTCAGACTTACATTTGTTATCTGCAAGAGGGTTAGTCTTGCAAAACCACTAGTAATTAATATTTGTTGTATTTTATTAAACTATTTGACTGTGATGGGTTGGGTGAAAGATCTTCATTTAGTCATATAGTTAGCCAGATAGTTTGAGAAGCACTAAATTAAAATAATTTGTAAAAGATCCTGTAACCAAAATCTCTGGAGTCACCCTGTTTCTATCATTCCCTAAACCTGATTGCTCAGCAAACCCTTTTATTCTCTGAGCCAACTAGTTGCTTTCTATAGTATATTCATTTTGAAGTGGTGGTAGTGGGGGGTGGTTTATGTAGACCATAGGTTACTCTGTTGCATGCAATGAACTATAATTGATACAATATTATCCAAATTTTCTATACTGAACATGCTTACTTGTCCTAATGGAAAAAAGGAACAGCTGTCATTTACAAATAAAGAAACCACTTGTAATCCAGAGACACAGGAAGGAAGCTGACAGCAACTACAGCTAAGTGTCATGTGGCTGAAGTCTTAAATGACTATGGCAGACCACATAGATGCTCAGCATTTACTAAAAGCTAAGACTAGTGTTTCAATGATGACATAGAATGTCCAAACCATGTGCTTAAGAGCATCTCATCAATTCTTCACTTCATTTTACAGCTGAAGCACTTTTGAGACCCAGAGACTAGAAGTACTTTGACCAAGACTACAGAGCCAGAAAATAATACAGAGTGGAATCGATATGAAGAACTCTTAACCACCAGTCTGCCTTTTAACTTTTCTGCTGGGGTTAAACTGGTTGTGTAAGAAGGACTTCCCCCCGCCTTTCACGTGAGTGCTTATTCACT